GCCCCTCTGCTTGCAGCTGCCTGCGTGGGGCAGTGGCTGCGGCTCCCTGCGCAGGCGGGGCTGCTGGGTCCGATGAGGGAAGCCCCCATCGCTCTGCCAGAGCAGCGCAGGCTATCAGCGGTGCCCAGAGAATGGAAAGCTGCTTGTGGGCTGCAGGGCCTGGTGTGACACACGTGCCTACCTCTAGAAATAAGGAGTAGGTGAGAAGAGCGCACGAGGCACCTGTACCTGAAGTCCACACTTGCACCAGCAGCAGTGAGGGTAAGGAGGAAGAGGAGCCATGAACCATCCCAGAAACAATCCCCCAGGAACACAAGGGAGGGCTCTCAGCTGCTGTGCTCTCACCAGCTTAGAGGAGCAGGCAGCAGCCTTGCACTGCTGGGCACCATCCTGCTTGGCACCTCCTGGCCTCAGCCTCGGCACTGTGGAGGACGTGGTCTTACCCAAACAGCTTTTTTACTGCTGCAGAGGGTACCTCTGACTGGAAGACGTACATGCCCAAGGCCCATGTCATGCTTAAAAATGGTAACTCGGCACCTGCATTGCTGGCACGCTGCTCAGAACAATACCCCCCTGCTTTCTGCATGGAGCCCCTCACAACGGCCCCTCACAAACCCCAGCCAGGCAGCCGCAGGCAGCAACATGGGGTGCAGCTGGGCTTGCAGTTCTCGGGGATGGGGAAAACATTTTCCTGTTTCCAGCTGTGGAAAAGGCACACAGCAAAGGACATTACTCCTCTGATAAACCTCCCCCTTCTGCCAGCCCTGCCTGCCCACGGCTGCACACACCGTCCTGTTGGTGAGACCCGGTGTTGCTGAACCCCGTGCTCAGCACAGCAGCACGTGGCAGCGCTGGCACAGTGTCTGTGCACACAGCCTTGGCCAGCATCGGAGTCTGCCTCGGGCCAGCGCAGCCGAACAGCAGCACAAGTGGAGCAGGGGGCTCCTCCAAAACAGGTGGCTGGTCAGGAGGAAAAAAGGCATCTTCCCACCAAGATTCCTCCCCGTTCTCTCTTACGTGCCAGCAGGCACGGACAGGCACACGTCAGTCACGAGGTGCACGCTGGGGTTGCAAATAACACTGTGAGAAAGTACGGAGGGAAGGGTATCTAGTGAGTCTCTCCATTCTGCAGTTTTTCCTCTGTGCTGCTGGGCATTACAACACAGCTTTTCTCAGAAATCAACACCTCTCTGAGAGAGCACCTTCATAAGCCCTTGTTGGAAAGCCTGTCCCTGACCTCTGTGTTTTCAGGGCTAGTATGGCTGGGGCACGCTTCTCCTCTCCAGGTCTACAAAGTGTCTTGGTAACCTATTCTTAAGTGTCTGTACAGGCCCTCTCTCTGAACCTCACAGCTCTGCACCCATATTGTGAACCTGCAAGAAGTCACTTTCAATAGGACTGCAGGACTCGAGGCTGAAGCACTATTAATTATCAACACTTCCAGCACAAATACTCACATCCAGGGCAACCACATTCTTCTCTTTGTGTCCCACCCTGCTCTATAGCACTGTGGTGAGTTGTCACATGCCTGTTCCTTACCACCCACAGACACGGTGAGAGGCAGGAAGGAGTGGCAGTACAGACAAGATGCCCTTCTCATCTGCAACCAATACCATGCTTCAGCTGCCATCTCATTTCTGGGTTCATTGCTACCAGCTGACACCACCAGCTAAAGCCGATGGCATCAACCTGAAGAAAGTCTGCCAGACATCAAGACTAACATCTAAACCAAACACTACTAAACACACACAAGTCAGTAGTTCTTGGTGTTCAAAGCAGAAAGGTCAATTGAAGTAATAAGGATTGGAGTGCTGAGGTCTGTTTCCCTCTTTCCTGCAAAAAGCACCATGACATATGTGAATTGTTCATCTTGAACACAGCCTGTGTCCTCCTCAGACCCGGGGGAAAACCCAGGACTGGCACTTGACAAAGACCCGGGTACAGCAAGCAGATAGAAGGAAGTCACAGAAGGCGCTGGTGCACTGTGGCCTTATTTCTGCTTTACGGTGCGGATAGGAAAAAAGAGAAGAAAAGTGTGCACAGTGGGAGGAATAATTCTTAACGGACAAGGGAGGGGAGAGAGAGGCCAGTGCTAGCTAACATACCTCACAGCAGGGTTTCCATTATACAGAATATAAATGCCAGCTTCTTTATTCCCATAGATCTGATTGCTACGGATGATGCCTTTTCCGTTGCCAACGACGACAATGCCTGAGCGAAGGCCACTGTGTATCTTATTGCACTATGGTTTTATTTTTGCACATGTAGAGAGAATAAAAGCAAAAGGAAGGAAGGTCACTCATAAAAGTGAGCAAGAGAAGACAGCAACCACAGAGAAAACAAACAGCTCCCAAACCTGCTGGGGAAAAGGGCAGAAGGGTAATTAATTCAGCTGCCAAATAATCACTCTCAAACGGTCAAGGCAGGCTTAACTTTCATGTTTCTTTGAGGTTCTAGTATACAATGCCAAATTTCCCTTCCTGTCATGCCTGCAGCCTCCTCTTCCTCCAGCAGCTCCTGCTGCCATCTCCAAGGGCTGCCCTGGACCCGCTGAAGCTTTGTTCCCTGCAGCTCGTCTGACACTGGGCAGGGCTGGTGGGGCTGCAAGTCCAAGAACTCCCCATGGTCACCAAGAGGAAAAGATCCTTGGTGGCACCCTACAGGAGCTGGAGGCAGAAGTCCAAACAGGGGGCTTGACACCACAGCACGGTGCTTTTTCTCAAGCTGCTAGACAGCGCTTTGCACAGCCTGAATGACCGCTGTCAACAGCCACACAGCTGCTTCTGTCTGCGACAGGGGCCAGCATGTCCCCTGAGGACAGGAGCACGCCGGGACCCTCTGAGCAGGTCAGCAGGCCCAGCCCAGGATCTCGCAGAGTGGCAGGTTAGGAATCACCAAACCAGGCAAAGCAACAAGCAGCAGCTCAAATGTGCAACTGAGGCCAAGCGTAGCCCAAAGCTCCGCGGCTGAGCCGCCACCTTCTCCTCCACAGGGCTGCAGCTCTGCCTGCCCCATCTCCCGTGCAGAGCTCACATGGACCGCTCAATGCAGCCACTGGGTCACTCAGGTGCTCCTTTCTACCTGCCTCTCTGCCTCCCCCGGAGGCCTTGGCTCCTTCAAGGATGACTACAAGTACAGCGCTCAGTAAACAGGGACGAGGTCACCCACTGCAGAGCTGGAGACGCTACCGATTCGGAGCAAAAGCCGTGCCGCTGGAGAGCGGGCTGCTGCTCCCCTCCTGTCTGCGGCTGAGCAGAGAGCAGAGGCTCTCCACCAGCTCCCAGGCTAGATAACACGTTTCGCAGAGTGGGAGAAACAATTTGCAGTACAGTGCTGATTTACTTCCTTGCTTGCATGAGTTCACTCATTACACAGGGGTGTTTAGTTGACAGAGAAACATTCCCCTACCCTACCCTCTGTGCACAGTGGTTTTGACACATACCGTCAAACCGAGCAGGAGGCCATGCAGGTACCATGAGGCAGCGCTTTGCTGTGCCTTGCCCTTGGGGTTAGCTGTAGTCTAATTCATCAACCAAAACCTAAGAAGCGGGTTGAAGGGCAAAGCTAACAGAAAGGTCCATGTTTTCTATACTGGGAGATGGATCCCTGCTGCCCCTCAGAGAGAAACAGCACATGAGAGAAAGAGCATGCTGTCCTCAGGACAGCTTGGAGGGGTACATACCAGAACAAAGGGGTTGGCTCCCTTACGAATGTCCACTCCAGCCTCGCAGTTGGAATGGATGTTGTTGTCTGCAATCAGCCCCCCAGCCGACAGGCGGAGGAATATCCCTGATGCTTTGCAATGGTGGATGTCATTCCTCAGCATGATAACCTGCAGGGAAGAGGAGAAGAACCTGTAGCTGTAGTCAGAAGAACAAGGAAGAGGACATGATCAAAGGCTATAGCTCTCCCTTCTGCAGCCTGTGCATCTGTGACCACTCTGCCTCTCCCGCAGTTGGGGCGTGCCAGGCATGCAAGCTGGCTGCAGAGATCAGTGCATGGACAAGTACTACAGCTAAGCCTGTTGGGCATTACCCACTGGTATGGGTCTGTTCAGGTGTGCCAAACGGCTTCACTCACCGCATCATGCTTGCCCACCACCAGCAACAATGAGGACCCATTGCCCGTCCCACCTCCACACCGCTCCTGGTAGAACAGACCTGCCCCCTCTCCACTCAGGCAGGCCCCGTTTGCATCGGCATCCTCTCTGTTGGCAACAGGCTGCCTCCAGACTCTGCCGCACAGAGCTGCTCGGAGGCAACATCTCCAGTGCCACAGAGCCTCCTGTGAGCACGCAAGCTCAGCGTGTGACCTGCCCATCGCCTTGCACCTTCAGAGAAAAGACCCTGCCATCGGGGGGCAGAAGTGGCCCAGCCAGCACACTGCAGTCACTGACACCACTCTTAACGACCTACTGTCCTCTAAGCAAATAAGCAGTTACATATTTATGCAGCAGCAATCTTTAATATTTTCCAGCCAAACAAACTCATGTCTTAAATCCGTGTCTTACGAATACTAAGAAATAATCCACAAACTGCCTTTGCATATCCTACTTCAATGAGCAACACAGATCAGAAGGTAATTAAATCATACTTCCTTGTATTTGTTCATTCCAGAAAGGTGCTCCACTCAATCTCTCGACTAAACATGGAGCTCAGCAGGGCTTGACAGCGACCTGTGCCCATCAGTCACGCTTGGCTGCCTGGGGATGGAGCTACAGGAAGCGAGAAAAGCAGGTACCCACGCCAGCTGGGTCCCACACACCAGACCCTGGTCCAAGCTTGCCCTGCGCTGGAGGGTCCTGGCTGTGCCAGCACACTCCCACTTTGTGTTGCACCTTTCCCATCTCACAGCCGAGTCTCCCGTGGTTGGACGCTCTGACGCCTGCCTCTCGACAAGAGCCTCTGTGCTAATTCCTAGCTGAGCAAATTCTCACTGAGAGGAGCAGCTGGGCTGGCCTCCTCCCCCTCCCATTTGCTACCATTTAAAACTAGGCTGCTGAGTGAAATTGTTTCTAGCCTCAGTCTCGTGAAAATAGCCCGAGTAGCTCGGAGAGGCTGGGCGAGACAGCGGAGCCATGCAAGGTGCCTCTGCTCCCTCCTGCCTCCGTGCAGTGGTCTTCGAGAGGACACGTCTGATAAGGGTATCCCTTGGAAGAAAGGAGCTGTTCCCCACTGCCAAGAAGCAAAGCGTTTCTGCACAGGCAACAGCGCTCTGCAGGCCTTCTGTGGGGAGCACAGATGGGGAGCTAGCATCATCGCAGCAAAGCCCTTTCCTAGAATCGGGTGGAAAAACATTCCCCTTCCTTCTCCCGCACAAATCTTTTATTTGCAGTCTTTTAAAGCAATGGACTGGAAAAAAAAAAGGCTGCCCCAACCACGGTATTGCTCGGGGCAGGTGGCTGGAGAGGAGCCTCCAGCACTGCGGGGGTTCTGGCAGTGTAACTCTTCCCCCAGTCCTTGCCGCCACCATCATGTCTGAAAAGCACAGGCACAGAGGTGGAGAGCTCTGGGCAAATGCAGGGTTAAATGACGCTGTGCTGAAGGAAACCTGATCAGCCTTTAGCTCTCTCTATTGCAGCTGACAGTGCCCACTACTAGTTCTTGAACCAGAATCTTGAGAATGGGCAGTAACAGTGAAAGCAGGAGAGAGCAGCATTGCTATAGGTGTGATACCATGGAATGCTGGAGGATAAAGATTTAATGCAGATAGAGTTTTATAAGGGGAGACCTGATCACAGCCTACAAATACTTGAGAAGGGATGGTGGGGAGGTAGGGGAAGGGCTCTCTACATTAGTGATGGGTGATAGAACAAGAGGAAATGGGTATAAGCTTAGTCAGGGGAGATTCAGGTTGGATGTTAGAAAGTATTTCTTCTCTGAAAGGGTTGTCAGCCACTGGAATAGGCTGCCCAGGGAGGTGGTTGAGTCCCCATCCCTGGATGTGTTTAAGAATAGGATGGATGAACTACTTAGGGATATTGTTTAATGGGGATTAGGGACGGTTGGACTGGATGATCTCTAAGGTCTTTTCCAATCTAGAAATCTATGAAATCTGTGAAATCTATGAAAACCTCAGTTCAGCCTCTGGCACACCTCCCTGGCTGAAACCCCTCCTTACCCCCTTTTGGCAGGGACCCACCCCTGCAGGATATCCTCCTGCAGGCTCTCCTGACACAGCCAGGACTGGCCACGGTGAGGGGCGAGACCAGGGGTCAATACCGCAGTTCTCAAGCCCCTGTGTTTGCTGCATGAACTGTGCTGGGAATAGCAAAAGTGATGATAACCAGTAGCATTTCTAAAGGGCAAGAGTTTAACTTACAGCAGAGCAGGCCTGACTACACGACCCCAACATGCCACCGAGTGAACGCCTCCATTGCAATTACAACATCACTGTATGCAGAAAGCAAGCAGCTGCAAGCAATCTGCCTTTCGTTTGGGCTGGTTAACCCAAGCCATGCACAGGAAACTAGCTGGTGGAGCAGGAGGGAGAGGGAAGAGGGCTCACAGAGGCCTTCACAGCACCTTACTGTTTTGTATGCAGCGCACTGCGTAGGTCAGATCCCTGAAGATGCTTCCTTCCAGTTTTGCTTGCCCTCGTGAATGAATGAAGATTCCTCCCTTCCCATCCCTGAAAAGGCACTGCCGGATGATGCAGCCCTGCAGAGAGTTGGCCAAAACCTGGGCCTCCTTGTCCTGCTGCAGCTCCTGCTGCAGAGACTTTAGCTTAAGGTCCCTCTGAAAGGCGTGCAGTCTGTTGCTTTGAAGCCTGCTGTCCGTAACATCAGCAAGCATGTGACTCAGGCTGTGGGCTTGGTGGGACAGTTTGTACGCAGCCTGAACATCCTCGTCATCATCGCTGTGTAAATCACTGTCACTGGAGTTTGAGTCAAGGGCCTGGTACTCCTCCTCCTTTGCTGCCCACAGGTTCTCTTCACGTTCAGTGTCCTCCTGGGCTAAGCCAAGCAGGGCTTGAGCACCCACAGCAGAGAGGAAGCTGCTTCGTCCTTCCCCTACAACAATCTCACATGTTCTCACTGGCCCCAGCAACGATTCTCCCCAGCTGTCCCGCTTTGCCACGGTGCGGCCAGATGGGTCAGGCTCCTGCACAGACACTGCACAGGACTTGGCCATGTTGGCCAGGTGCTTGCAGGCCCAGTTACGGTCAGAGCTTGGGCAGCCCTCCACAGTTACAGAGGCGCTCTCACTGCCAATGAACTCGCAGTTCTCCAGGACGCAGAGGGCCACGCTGCGGAGGTGGATGCTGGACTGGCTGAAGGTGCAGAACTTCACCTGGCACGTCCCTGGCGCGTGGATCTGCAGCTGCCCACTTTCAAAGTTGCAATTGTCAAACTGGACGTAGCCTGAGGTTATCTGAAGAGTAAGCACAAGGGACATCATTGCACAAAGCAAGAGAAAGCAGTCCTGGATGTACCATGAAGTCCCTCCGCAGCAAACAAGCTCACGCTCACATAGTATTTGTTCGGGTGTCACAGACACAAGCAGCTCACACAGGCACAGATGCAGTGCTGCAAGCTCAGTTAGCACGTCTTGAAACAAGTGACACCTACTGACTTTCTTCCCTGCTGGCAATGTGTCCTTAACTTCCCTGGCAAGACAGAGCTTTGCAGCCTCAGCAAGGCCCAGCAGCCACACGTGGTTGCTGACAAGACCTGGATGTGCCACGACCACTAAACCTTAGCAGTGCGCCCTATACAGAAGGGTTTGCAGCCTTCAGAGACATGTATTTGCCAGCTGGCATCGTTAATGGGCTCAGGGGTTTACTGGGTGAAGCATCAGGTAAGACAACATCAAACATCACCTGGTTGGCCTGGAGAGCTACAATTTTCTCTGGAGCTGTTAGTATACTTGGTGGAAGGATGCTGCACCCGTGATGCATCAAGTGCAAAACAAAACAGGTACAAATTTGTGTCATACTGCTGTACAGGCATTATGTTGTGATGCTGCAGTAGGGGAGACACCAACAATTTCTTGCTCCCTGGCTATGGTTTCCCATCGGACTTGCTGGTACTTGCAGAATTGTGAGCCGTTCGTGCTGTGACTTTCCTGCTTTGCAAGGCAATGCGCATAGCCACTTACGGGTGCTGGCAAACCACCAGGACAATCGTGCATGGCCATATGTCTCTCTCCTGCCCAGGCAGGGCAGGTCTCTGCTTATCTACAGAAAAGGCCAACAGAAATGCAACAAGGTACAGGGAGGGCCAGGTCAGGAAAGCTGAGTAGTGTGCTCGGAACTTCACTGTGCTCCTGATTTGACTAGGAACCTCCTAAATCGTTATTTTTGATTCCCAGGTCATTCCTTGATTGTCTAGTGCACCAGATTGAAAGTGGACAGATCAATAGCTTGTGACAGGTGAGCTGGGGTAATTTTACAGAGATTTCTGGAGTCTGCAGCCAGCACACCATCCTAACATTTGTCTTCAGCCTAGAGCCCTCTCAGAAGCGGTCATACTGCAAACAGGGTTTGAAAGGAGCGGCTTTGTACCCAAAGCCAACCACACAGAAATCCCTTCAGACTGCTAGTGGGCTCCAGACTGAATCACACCTTCCCTTTACTAAAAAAAAGCTAATTAAAAGGGAAAAAAAATAAAATCAGCTTCTGAGAAGCTGCTTGTGAAAACCCTTCTGAAACTGCAACTCACGGGGTTTTAATGACTGCAGGTAAGACTGGCATAAGTTTGCTTTTTTAATTTGTTTTTCAATGACAGATTTGGGACGAAACACACTCGTTCCACCCACAGCAGCTGACTGAATTTTTACCTAAAATGGAGCCTCTCTCTCTGAGAACATCCCATCCTGCACGTACTTTTCCTTTCTTAAACTGGCTGAGCTTTCTGCACAAACCTGCTACAAGACCTTGGACCCTGGCCAGGGATGCTCGGCTGACTCCGCACCGTGACACAAAACATTTTTCGTGTCAGTCTGTTGCCTCGCTGGTCCCCCTCTGGCCCCACTTTTGAGGTTGGTTCTCTTTTCCCACCCGCCTCTGGGACAGCCAGGTGCCCCTCTGGGATGGTGTAACGGATGCACCAAGTGGGACCAAGTGAACAGGGCTTTGGTTCAGGCATCACCGAGAGGCAGCCCTGACTGAAATCAGCCCTGCCGCGCGAACCATGAGAAGGGTGCCAGGTCAGACCTTTGCAGGGACCAAGGAGGCTGAGCCACGCCTTATCGGGAGCCAACAGTGCCAGCCTGAGCTGGGATGAGACTAAAACTGCCACAGCTGCGCACCCGCACAAACAGCGAAGTGAGTCCTTCACTTTATAAACACCTGCAGCCCTCTGAGCCTGCGGAGCTCTCCTGTGCAGCAATGGGCTGCATGGTGGTGGTCTCCCTTGAGCAGGGACGCCTCTTGAGGTTACTCCTCGAGGCCAAGAGACCCCTTACACAGCATCTGATACCTATACTGAGGTAAGTGACATTTCACATTACAAACGTATGTTGTATGCTTGTGACATTCATATATCCATCTATAGCTTAATTACTAGAAGTGTAGTAAGTAGTAGAGTGTTTGCTGTCTAAATTATGGTTTAAATCATCAGTTAAATCAGCATCAAATCCTTATCAAATTGTGCTTCATTACCATTCAATTATTGCTTAATCACCACCACCAATTAATTACCATTTAATTATTATTATATCAATTAATTATCATGTGATCATTGTTTAACCGTTAATAAAACCATTTTAGTTTTCCTCCACAACAATGACCTCTCTTAATTCACCTGGACTGATGGTTTGGCCCCTTCTGAAATCTGTCTAATTCTCTCGATACATGTATAATATATCCATGTAAGTAATCTGTCATAAGCATATCTGCTGCTGTATTGGTTTTTAGTTTGCAGTAACCTGTAATAGCATTTACCCACTTGTTTGCTGCTGTTACTGGTTGTTGCTACAGGATTGATTGTTTCTGTCACTGATGCCTGCCATACTATTGATTGTTACTGTATTATTGATCGCTGATAGTAATTTGTAATAGCCTGATAGATAATTTTTTTTTTTTGCTTTATTAATCAAAGGCATTCTTGCTAGTGGCGATTTGTGTGATATTTGTGGCAATCTGTAACCAAGTAGAGGCATTCAGAGGACAAAGCCCTCGAGCCCCCGCGCATCCAGGAGTCCCACGAGCCCCTGGCTGTGCTCTCCACATGCCCACTGAGCAGGGAAGCCCCTCAGCCCTGGCGCCC